AAAAATCATCAGAATATTTGTCGTCAGTTATACAGCAAATTATGTATTTATGTATTTAATATCAATGTTTATATTGTATACTAATTTCTTATCAACTTTTAATTTCTTAAAAAATTACTTTTTTGGTTTCAAATTGAACACTTGTCTTTCATTACGAAGTGTCATTGACGAAATTTTCGGTGATAATAACAGAATAAAGAATTCTCAGTAATAAATATACGAATATTTGCACAAACCATTAATCAATAATATTTATATCGATTCATAACAAACAAGATGTTATCAACTTTCTGTGAAGATTCTTTTCGTATGTTCTTCTTCATTATGTGCTTCTATGCGATCGTTCATTGTACCTGGCTGCTTTCATGTCAAGCCTTTCTTCCATTGTACACGGTCTTCTTTCAATTTCCATTGTCCACCGTCTCGATACTTTCCCTCTTTCGAGTTTTGTCCCCAACCTGCAATTGCTCGGTTTTTCCTCGAGACTAATTGCTCCCTTTGTCGCGTTTCTTTTCAAGAAATTTATTCCCCACCGTTCCATTCAGTCCTCTTCAGTTTCTCAATTTCAGTTGGAGAGAGCTTGTTAAAAAAATATCTTCGGAATATTTGTCGACAAGATAATTTTGTGGGATAAATTAAGAATCACTAATTCCTGTCTATTGGCCATCATTGTCATTAATTTGAAAAATCTCTTGAAGATTTAGTAATTAAAATTTCTTTTAAGGTTCAGGATTTTATCGACGTACGTTAAAAAATTTGTAAGCCAGAAAGGAAGCCATCTCTTGGAAGAAATTTCAAGAGATTCCACTGTATGGAAATAAGGTATCATTGTAACAATTAAACACCTAATTTTATGCATTTATGAGAAATTAAAAAATGCAAGAATATATAAAATAGTATACTTGTCATAAAAATGCATTTAGTAGCGAAAATAAGTTTCTGTTTAGACTCCATTTTTTTTTCCTTTTTTAATTACAATCATACATATAAAATTCTAAAATATATAAAGCAAAGTATTTCTCACAAAGTCGAAAACAAATCTCCTTTCTCTTCTCAGCTTCTTCATTCCCTCTATCCATACACTGTTGAAAACTCATTGCAATATACGTCAACACTTCTACAGAAACTGCACGCACATCTCAAAACTCTGGTTGAATAAATAGCCGCTCAGCTCGCCAAGCGAGTCGTTTCATTCTCACTGCCATATCGATTTTACCCTTCGACAATGTCTACGGTTCGCCTACCGAACAGCTCCATTCGCCAGCCGCGAAATCAGATAGCATTGAGAGGGGAACGACGCTGTCGTCGCGTCATGGCGCATCGCGTTTCTCGGTTTCAACGGTCCGCCACCGCGACGTTTCCCGTTAAGTTGGCCGGTTTAATAAGATTTCCTGTTGATCGGTTGCAGGGACGAGGCGTAGGATGGGCCCGACCGCGCGAACAGTCGTGCTACACTGAAGAGGAGGAGCTCCCCTGAAGAAGAGAGAGAAGGAGGAAGGAACGGAAGGATGCCTGCCTCGCAAACCGCCGCCACGGAGCGGCGAAACGAGAGGATGGTGAGTGTATATATCCTTCCTTTACCGCCGTTGTCACGCCTTTCGTTTCCGCAGGAAACGACCGACAGAAAACAGTTAGGGGGTGGCCAGACGACGAATGCCTTAGGAAACGACGCTCCATTTTCTCAGTGGAGGCGCGAATGGAACGGTCCGACGTTTTTTTTACGAGCGTTGCGAACTAGATAGAAGGACGATTGAATTTATTCGCGTATTTTTGTCTAAGAAATTGAAAGGTTTGTCGGGTTCGTGAAAAATTGAATCAATCGGTAGCGATTTTTTTTTTACACTCTAGTGCCGAGTAGTATATGGAATAACTTTTAATTCGAATGTATCGTGGTATAAATTTACGTAATAAACATCGATGGCCTGTTAATTCTACTTTAAAGTCGATGCCCGAGTATGAAACACAGTTTTCTGAAAAACTGCTCGATAATTGCCAACCATCGTACAGCGATGCTCGCTTTTGAAAAGCCTTAATACGCTAGGAGCGTGATTCCGCTTCCGGTTAGTCGACGATGCCGTAACATCCGTTTTTGCTCGGTTATCGATGTTAAATTAGAAACTGATTACTTTTTACCCCTCCAACTCGTAGTATTCTTATTTCTATCTCTGTTATGCATTTCCTCTTTCTTTTCGTTTTTTCCAACTGCCTCATATTCTTTGCCATCATTTGTCAGAAATATATATATTGACGGAAGTTACAAATAGGAGGAAAAATTGAGAAAAATTCACTTAATTATCATTTCATTTTATCGTAGAATATTGCGAAATTATCACATATGTGTTTCTGTCTTCATCAAGTCGCGATACACTTCCCCCTTTTCTCGCAGATCAATAACTCATTTTGATGTGATCACCCTTTCTGAAGTGATCGTTGAAATGACGATCGTTGCACTTCTGCATAAAGGCTGCACCCTCTTCAAGAAACTTCCGTGGCAAGCGAGTTTCAAGCGTGTTTTCCTCGCTCTAGAGAAGGATTCGTCATCGATTTTAAATTAGTTTTGTAAATTTCTGCTCGAAACAAGCGTGTACAAAGTATATAGAAATATGCATATGAAATGTAATTTAACGTACGTGTTATTTTCAGATCACACACGAGCCACCAAAATTGAAAACGACCCTTAAAACGCCACCTAAGCAAGCGACCAATCCTCTTCAGTTCGTCAAAGTAGGACCGTGCTCTTTATACCGCACAGCTCAAGAGCAGTTGCAGAAGGTCCAGGAGGTGAAGAAGATAAAGCAAGAAGTTCGCGATGATCCCGAAGATTGGCAATCGGTAAGTTAATTTCTTAATAATTGG